CGAAAACGCCTTAGAGGTTATTTTCGGGCGTCTAGAACACAGAAATTTCGTGGGGGAATTCCCCCAGACCCCTAGGGTAGTGTTATCTCGACCGGCCTCTTCCCCTCCCCCCTTTTCGGACATCTCTAGATCCGCCCCTGTATCAGTTGAATCAGTGAAGTACCAGCTGTAAACTTCCTTGAACAAGTCACTAAAAACGTATTATTTATTGTTTTCATTGCAGGTTGCTGGTAATTTCGTGTTCGCTTCGGAAGTCTTCCCAAGTTCCATCAGTCCCTTTGAAAACGATAATTACACCAATCTTGTTTTAACGTCAGGACCGTATAGCTTCGATGAGTTACAAGCGACCATATTGAAGGTTCTAAAGGGGAAAAACCTTAGTCCAGAAAACCAAGATGCTCAGCAAACAATCTGTGATATATGGAACATATACGAAAGCAGCGGCTTTGTGAATTTGGAACCGAATGTTGCGGAAGGTATACTTCATTGATTTAGAGACAGCGATAATATTAAATCTCTTAATAATGATAGTAGTGGGTTGTGTTGGTAGTTGTGGTAAATGATGATGGTGATAATGATGCCATAAAAATGATAATATTAATGTTAATAATATTGATATATTTGTAAGATTTACATGGCGGATAAACAATAGTAGGTCTATAACTTTGCAGTACACCACAGAGTTCTGGAACGAACTGTTGTGTTGAAAGTATGTCGACGTTTCAAATAAGTTGCTCTATTCTCTTCCATGAGAATAATACATTGATATTATAACAACAACAATAAAAATAAATCAACAACAATTGCACAATATTTTCGTGTGTTATAGGTCGGTACTGTGAAAGTTTCTATGATAATATAATGTGTTGGCCACCAAGTCCACCAGGTGAAGTGCACCAGAGATGTCCAAAGATTTGGAACGGGGTTGAATACGAAGATACTAGTAAGTTGTTACCACGTATAACGTGATGTAATTTGCATACTAATATGACATCTGTCTTTATATATCGAGACAGTATGCACCATGTGATTTCAAAGTATTGTAATTCAGCAAAAAGCGATGTCTGATGTAATATTTTACTTCTTTTAATTTTTCCATGTTTTCATTTTGCGAAACCGCAAAGTGATAGGAGAGATTACTGAAATTGTTGAATAAAGAGACTAAATTACTAAAAGACAACAAGGAAGTTTTGAAACTTTAGAATCTGTAGAGACTCGTCAATTTCAAAGGCACAACATCTTAATTTTCGTGAAATTTTTCTGTTAAGAAGCTAAAAGAATATGACAAAGTTTCAAACACTGATCGCATGTCTCGAATTCTAGTCATTAGTGTTTTTTCCTCAATTTGATTCAGATGTCATCCAGTATTGCCACGAAAATGGGACTTGGAATGAGAAGTCAGACTACGATAATTGTAAAGACGTCAAAAAGGTTAGTGTTAATTCGATCCTTATATATAAATCAGCATTATATTGATGTAAGCCTATGATCGTTTGGAATTTGAGGTACATATCAAGGTTAAATTAAGGTGCTTGCATTATATAGAGCTGATCAACATTATTACATGTTACATCAAGCACTTTCTAATTACATGTCGATATAAATGTTGTTCTTCTTTAAACAATAGGCCTTATTGCTTATGTAATTTTTAAAAACTCACAGTTCTCTTATTAAAGCAATAGATAATCAATACATATTTAAGGTAGGCCTAATGTATAGATAAATATTTGTTAGATAAAGACACCTTTATAATAAACGAAAACTTTGATCACGAAAATAGTGGGTATATTATTTTGCGAAGTAGAAGATCTGGCAAAGTTAATGACGATTTAGGTCTAAGCCTATATGTTATAATCTAATTACTGGTATGTATCATTATAAGTTCAGGAGGTTTAATTATGTGTCATATAAGTTCAGGAGGTCAGGTTCAAGTGTTTTTCAGTGTACATTTTTTATCTTATGTGTAAATATTACAAATCATCTTTCGTCTAATTGTAATTTTAACTCTTTTCAGGATGACGTATATATGGATATAGCGACGGTGATCTTATATGCTGGGTATTCGTTGTCATTTGTTTCGCTTATCATCGCATTTGGTATATTTTTAGCTTTCAAGTAAGTGATGCTTCTATATACACTGTATTTACCTGTATTTGATGATTTATAATCTAACAGTGTTAACAGCAATCTGATTTATACCTGTCTCTTATACACATCTAGATGTGTATAAGAGACAGGTTTTGGCCTTCCATGCCTCATCAGTGCAGCTAGGGTACAGACCCAAACGAAACGTTCGACCAGCTTAGGTAGGGCCCAAACTATTCCCACGACCACTAATGATTACAGAGCCAAACCAAGGCAATATATATACACACAGCCCAGCTGTGAATGCAAATAGTGGAATACAACCTATGCGGCTCCGTTCCAGTAGATACAGAGAATATTTTGTCATTCTTAACGCGTCCTACGAAATTCTTACGAGACAGCACTATCCGTGAATTTGTGAACAAATCGTCTAAAGGTCTAAAGATGCAATCTCTACCGTGCATCAATGGCGGCGCTGGATCTCAATTGAGATTCTTTTAATAATATGTAAGTTTGAAAGGCAAATAGGAAAAACTCATAAAACAGCAAACGGCCATATAATGCAAAACAATTTAAAATTAAAATTAATATATCGATAATTTTGTTTGTTTTCTAAAATACAATACCGTATGCTGGGAAAGCTATCATACCAAGCTCACTCCGGCTTCTCGTCTGACATTATCTCGGTAGGGGGCAGTCATCTTCATATCTCCTGGTCACACCCACCAGCTCACAGTACTGTAGTCTTGAGCGGTGTCATCAATTTTAATAGGTTATTTTCCCCTCGTTTGGATTCATGGTATCTGAACATTTTTTAAAAAACCATAATGACATGAAGGGAATGTACTGCTGCAGACACCAGGTATAACAATTGCGAGGATATGGCGGTTTATATCAGTATAATAGGCTATGTCCATTGTAATGAGTATAATCATTTCTTTTTCTAATGAAAAAGAACCCAAAAATACATATACTGTATTTGTTTTACAATGGATTAGAATAAATAAGCCTATATAATGTTTATATAAGGCTTTACAAATAATAGAAAATTACTTACAATTACGAACGCAATATACTATAATATGTAATATTGCCAATTACACAACATTTTTGTTTTAAAATTAAAAGCACGTACACATTCGTAAAAGAAGCCATTTATTTGAAATTCATTTGGCTTATAATATAGATAAAGTGAACGTACTAGGCCCAGTTACCTATCTTGATACTCGATATATTCGTTCATTTGTGCATCTGTTTCACACATCTATCCTTATTAATTCACTGTACATTCAGTCACACAGTCGTCCATCACCTTTGCAGTCCCCAGCCAACTAAATAAATCGATTCTCTATTTCAGTGGCTTCATCTATTCATGGTCATCATTAGATACATGTATCTTATATACAGCGTTCTACCTTGCAATAATACACTATTAATAATAAATTTACCTGTCCTGTATCTCAGCCATATGGTTGGTTTCATTCCCGACGGCGGAAAATCATCTCTTGTGTTTTTTAAGTGACTTAAAGTGGTACTTAAGTCGATGTCACCATTAATGTCGAGCCTCTATCCATCGTCCAATAACTGAATGTTAATATCAAATATCCAGAGCACTCTGGCTTGTGATTGGTCAATAGTCTGATTTACATTCTAACACTCAGCAACCATTATGCAGCATAGGTATTGTCCATATGGTTGTGACCCACTTTAAGCTGCTTCATTATAATTCGTCCCCACTCGTCTAAAAAGTCATTCATCTTAAAACCTGGGAATAATCAAGAAGAGTGAAATAAAAACGATCATGCTTATGTTTTAGCACACCACATCAGTACGTACATTATCATACTGTACACCTTAACTAAAGAAATTACTAAAGATAAATCATTTTCAATTTTATTTAATAGTGTCCATTAATTGCCGGAAGCGTGAATTAAAGCACTTGAAAATAATGATGTTGAATAAATACAAAGACAAGCAGTTACTTTCACGTTTTATGTGATGGTATTTATTTGCTCTTTTGTTTACATTAATTTTTTAATAAATTGCGCAGAATTGCATCTTTCACGTAAGCACAAATCTGTCTGTCCGCTGATGTTTCTCTTAGCTTGGCCAACTTTGTATATTGATTAGCATTTAACCTTTCATTTCATACATAAACAATAATAATTATCTTTATTACAGATGATAAAATGACCATGTATTTTTAATATTCAAAATTGCAATTCTGCAGGTTTACTCCGGGGACGGTTTTCATCGAACCTTGTCGAAGTCGCATTACTCTTCAAATATACTGTCTCCAATTTAATTTTAATGAGAATCGTAGCATTCAGTGATATGACCATTTGAGACCTCAGTTATACCTTACTCGATAACAATATTATTAATAAATAAAATCAGGCCTATTTAATACCACTGCATTACAGTATATCAATATTATTTTTTATTAAGTGTTGCTGTTATTACCAGTTGTACTCCAGTATCACTGTCAAACTATGTTTTATTATAGGAGCTTACGTTGTCTTCGGAATTACATTCATTGGAATTTTATTACAAGTTTCATCTTTTTATACATTATGTTCTTTTGCAATCATCAGATGGTTAAGAAAAGCATGGAAAATCTGGTAAGTGTTCTGAGTAACTGGATATGTTGTGAATCATTATTGTGTGACCCAATGGATTCAATCTATGCACATAAACCTATTACAGTATTCGATATTCATTCATTTATTCGACCAACAATCAACAAACAGACATAAAATTCAAATAGGAACAAAGACAAAAATAGATTTGAAAGGCGTTTAAAACTAGAAAAAAGGTCACAGCAAAATGGTTAAAAAATGATTAAGAGAACAAGATTGAAACAATGGTAATAAGAGTAATTATTAAGATAATTATAGTTAAAACTTTACAAAATGTTTCTTAAATGTGTGTATAAAAGCTAAAATCTCGATAAAATCTTGATAAAATTGTTTTGAAGAACTTTCAAAAAGTGTTAACATTTAAGAATTGAATTGATCAGATAAAACACATTACATGAAAAATACCAAAAAATAAGACATGAAAAGTGTTGGTCATGATCAGGATAGCCCAAAAAAATCAATTACAAAGATTAATTTCCATTGGGGCCTTGAGAACATGTAACAAAAAAGACGATAAAATCTCAGTTTCGAGAAGAAAAAAGACACAAAGGTCAGAGAATTATAACCCCCCCCCCCCCTCCGATCAGACTAACTCTCTCATAAAAGCCAAGTGCTCTTTCACAACTTTCTTAAAGCAACTATTTACTGTATCTTTTTGGTGGGGAAGTTTATTCCAATGTTTAATGGCAGAAGTATATAATGTACTGTCGACGATCTTAGAAGAAAGTGGTGTAACAAAATCAAAGCTATCCGTGTACTATATAAATGTAATGAATGTATCTGAAAGGTAATTTGGAGCCTGGGAGTTCAGTATTTTATGTACATTATTTAATTGTATTTGATCAACTCTTTATTCGACGTTTAATATACAAGCTACTGTCGAGTACCTTTTATCCAATATGAGATCTCGGTCCTTACCTCCTCATAATTTGTAGGCCTATATTAATCATATTTGTTTTCTATTGTTTATTTTTTTCAATAGCCTGTATGTCGTCTGCTGTTGACACTAATCATCTACGCACAGTGCACTAATTTCTTTTGGATGTTTGTCGAAGGATTGTATCTGTACACCCTTGTAGTTATGGCGCTCAAACCCGAAAAGATGACACTGGTCAAGTATTGCCTGATTGGATGGGGTAAGTATCATAACGATAGATATACCAGCATGTGACATATATTCGCCACGTCAAAATTTATTTTAAAGTCTTTAATAATTAGATCCATGCTTAACAATGACCGAACCATTATTCAAAACACGCTTAGTATAATGATTTTGCGGGTACATACCATGGAAGACTACAAAGTATGTGACGATGACACCACTAAAAACATCACACATTTTCATGTTCGATACCCCTATAGGAAAGAGAATAATCTACACTTTGTCGTGTAAACTATGTTTTTGTAGTAAGGAATGACCTTAATCAAACAAGAATAGGTACAGTTATAAATTATCATGCTCAATTTCCAATACTAAATTGTTATTTTAATTTTTAGTCTAGGGTGAAATCAACAGTAACACTTCTCCTTTCTATTTCCTCAGGAACTCCTTTCATAATAACAATGATTTATGCAATTTGTGAGCTCCAATTCGGCAGCGGGTAATTATAACAATTTGATTTATCGCTATCCCATAAATGCTGATAATACAAAATAAGAAATAGCCAAGATAAGCCATCAAAATAATCACATACATAAAATTGTAATTACAATATCCTTCTGCATTCTGAACTAAAAACTGTAGGGAATTTGTATGTACAGAAGATAACAATAGAAATCTTTCTTACAAATGCATAACATTTATTATGTTGAGGGCCTATGTTTATACCGTATTTGAGCCTGCGTACTATTAAACCTGCAAGGCGTTCAAATATTCTTTACGAAATTGGTGTGTACTCTCATTTAAAATGTCTTTACTTTATTTTGTGTACATCATCCAATTCATGTAATTCCTACCAACAATTTTACCGGCATCCTTCGTGATCAATAATAATTTCTTCTTATTATAAATTCTTAATTTTATACATAGTTTATATACTCTGTGGGCATATGATTTATGAAAGCGTGAAAATATGTCCTTCCTCCTGAATCCATCCATGCGGTTATCCTCATTTTAATTAAGACTGACGATAAGTTTAATGGATTTTTTTGAAACAACTATGTAACCTAAGTTAAGAATACTATCCTAAAATGTGTTGTATTCAAATTGGTATTTGTTGTTCGAATTTATCCCGCCACGTAAACAAAAATAAATAAGGTTGAAACATGTTTTTCTTTCTAGTTGTTGGGCTTCAGTCGGTGCTGAGATACTTACCCCAGATGGTGAAAAAGAACCAAATTCTGTGGAGTACCTAGAATTCATTTTTGTTGCACCAGTTATGCTCATTCTAGTGGTGAGAAATATGTTTGTACTTTTTACGTAGTGGGAACTATTGTAAAAGCAATAATATAAGATTCGTCAGCGTTTACCAAAAACCAAAAAAACAGTGATCCACTGATTGTTATTCTGATGACATTCGAAAAAATTGCGAAATACAAAATCAATTTGGCTTCTCTTAGTCTTTGTAGTGTGCATGACCTTACATTATTTTATTTTTGTCAGGTTTATACAAAAATGCTGTTCCTTCGTTGGTTGATTTAACATACATCACGTTTAACCGTTGTATATTTTTACAAAATAATTGAAGAATAGTAGATCTATATTATATTATATTCTTGAAATATATAAATGATATAGTTGTTTTTTGTTTTTTTTTGTTTTTTTTTTTCACAGACGAACACTTTCTTTCTGTTCCACATTGGGTTTATTTTAATGACGAAACTCAAAGCTTCCCATTCGTTCGAGACCAGACAATATAGGTAAGCATGATAAATAATGATAAGAGAAGAGTTTTCATAAAATCCACATTATAATTTTACTTTTATAATTAAACCTCTTGGCGATCAAGTACACATAATACTGCATTTGGTCGCAGGGCTCGCAGAATCGGGTGCCCGACGTCCCGCGGCAACCAAAAATTTACGTCGGGCAACTCAAATTTAAAAGGTAGGTCCCGACGGGCAACCTCTAAAATATCAGATGTTTTGCAGCGACTGAAATACAGACTATACTCTACACAATTAGTCACATAAGAACGAATGGCCAAGCCACCGAGATTGTGTTTGTGTGTGTGAAATAAACTGTGTGAAAATTCGGTAGTATGGAATGCTATCTCTCGATCGTGGCAGCCAGCCAAAGATAGAGACGTACGACCGCCAACAACAAAATGCATGTGTTTGTGTACAATCGAGCGTATGGCAACTCGTTGGAATGAGTTTCCCATGCCTGTCTAGAGCTGGCGGCATCCTTGTACGCAAACCCAACTAGTCTAGCGCAAAAGCAGTTCTCTTGTTTCAACTATGGAGTAGATACCAACTCGTTGTACTGGTTGAAGCATGGAGGAAATATCTTAATATATTTCCTCCATGGTTGAAGTAACAGATATAAACCGAGTTGGGAATACATTTACAATCTGATCTTGTATTATTTGTAACTTTGAATTATTAAGCTATGGTGGTAATTCAATAAAATCGGAATTCATTAAATTATTTACATTCATGTTTTTTTTGTGTTTTGTTATGTATGAATTTTATAAGCAATTATTATTATTATTATTATTATTTTGTATTTTGTAATATAAAGAATGCTGAATTATGTTGTCTCCGTTTTTCAATATGATTATAATAATAATAACTGATGTAATAACAGTAATAGTAGTAGCAATAATAACAATAATAATAATAATAATAATAATATACATCAATAAAATACATTAGTAATAATAATAATAATAACAATAACAACAACAGTAATAATAATAATAATAAATAATAAT